AATCTAAATATGATGGACAATTTTGTAAATATGTAATTCATGCTCATACTTCTTTTATTTTCTCTCTTCTTTTCTTTCAAATTTGGAGTGATTTGTTTTTGGTAATGAGTGTGGAAAATGATAATTTTTACTATTTTCTTTCTTCTCATTTTTTTTCTTACCAAGCATCCCTAAGATCCATTTTTCTTCCACTTTTCCATCCATCATTTTTCATCTTTCCACTTTTCAATTATACCAAACACAGCCTTAAAGTTCATGAATTTTTTGTTATTTAGCCATCACTATAAAATTTTGGTTAAGGGAAAGTACATCATGTGGAAGAGATGTGGGTTTTTTTTTTTTTTCTTTTTCTCTTATTTCTTTATTCGTTTTTGGAATGGGAAAGGAATGGTGACACAGTGGATAAGACAAAGTGGTTAGAAGATTAGAAGGGAATACTTGGGATGATGAAAAGGAACAAGAAACTTACAAAGGTTTATGGAATTGGGGGATTTAGGATTTTACAAATCTCTCTATGAAACAAATAAAAAAAGAAGCAAACCTTCAAAGAGAGAAAGAGCATTTTTCCCACACATTCAGGTCAATTGGTCATCAATTAATCAATATCTCTTGACAATTAGACCCACCCATTTATTAATTCATTTATGAAAAATACTACCATCACATATAGTTTCTTTACTATTTCCATGACAACCAAGTTGTGGATAGCAAATCTTGATATCCATTTTGGATTCTCAGTTGTCTATATCTTATATAGTATAACTCATTTTTCCCCTTTTACTGGTAGGTTTAGTGCCCTAATGATTCTTTCATTACATTATTATTATTATTCTAGTACCTCTGTTACATTTTAAACAAAGTATTAACCTTAGTTCATTGATAAATATATGCATTTTATGTTTAAAGAGCTCAATTTGAGTTTTTTTTGAAAAATAACCCATTGATTACTAATAATGTACTCTGTTACAATCTTTGGCAACAATATCTGACAAAAAGCTAGGACACTCTTTGATCTAGATCACATCAGTTTTAGTTTGCTCCCCATATTTTGCAAGTTTATGAGCTGTCTTATTACCCTCTGCATAATATGAGAAACCACACAACTCTGCATAGTTCCTATTATCGCTCGTGCTTCAACTAGGATTATTCCACTGGAGGAGAGGTCCATGTCAGTGCTCTTAAGTTTCTTGACTATTCTTAGAGCATTGCTTTCCAATTGGATCTTTGTAAAACCCAAATCTTTTGCTAATTACAGAGCTCTAGCTACTGCCTTGCTTTCTGCCATCCATGCATCTTGTACATAGTACAATTTAGCTGCTAATGCTCCCAGGCTTTCCCCCTTGTGATCTTTTGCAATCACCTTTACCCCTACACCTCTTGTTCTCATATTCGTAAGACCACTTACTTGTCATTTGGGCAGCTTTGTAGTCCTCCCAATAGGTGACTGCATAATCCACAACTTGTTGCAAGCTATGCATTGTGCCACCGTGTATTTTCTCATTCCTATTACTCTATATAGCCCATGCAATAATAAAGAACTTTCCTAGATTTTCATCATTAAGTTTTCCTTCCATTTGTGATGCCCATTGTGCTACGTTCTGCTATGAATCTTCCTATTCAAATCCCGTTTGAAACTAGATTTGTTATGCTATAGAGCAGTCTCATATGGCATGAACAACTGACTTATCCTCATCATTACACCTTAGGTAGCTTCCCTCTTCAATGATCCTCCTTTTCAACAAATTTTCCTTTACTAGCAGAATCGTATGAATCATTTTCCGCGTAAATACTTTTACCTTACTCGGGATTGTCAGTCTCCATAGTCTCTTCCATTTGACTCCCTTCCATTCGGTCATGTATTATTCATCATTTCCTTCTCCTATGTCTTCTCATAGCTGTCGATATCCACTCTTTACAAAATAAATCCCATTATTGTTGTAGTGCCATATGGGTATGTATGGCTGGTTTTGTGTCCCAATTGGAATGGCATATATGGTATCCACTTCCTCTTCATTGAACATGTGGTAAACCAATTCTTTTTTCCAACACTTTGTTTCATCATCAATTAGATCACAAACATACATGTTTCCATTCAACCCTTCCCTAGGTTCTAGACATCCTCACACACCCTGTGCTGCCACCCACTTAAGAGTCTAGACTTTTATGTTTTCTCCTGTGCTTACCCTCCAACGAAGTCTCATTTTCAGAAGCTTCAAAGAGTCCCAAATACTACACTAGGTGAGGGAAGGATCATGCCTAAGCTCAGCTTTTAAAAGGTTCCCATGTGAAATATATTTCCCCTTCAAAACACAGTAAGCCAGAGAATTTGTTGTTTGAGGTAGCCTCCAACCTTGCTTGCAAAGTAGAGCCATATTGAATTCATGCATCTCACGGAAGCCCATGCCCCTGTCACTTTTTGGTCTGTTCATATTTCTTCTGCTTAACCAATGGATTCCTTTCCCCTTACAATCATTATGCCACCAATAGGTGCTGAGAATGCTGTTTATTTTCTAGCATAGAGACTTAGGTAAAGCAAAACAATTCATAGTGTAGGAAGGGACTGCTTGCAGTATTGATTTTATAATATTTCCTTCTTTCCTTTTGATAGCATTCTATGGCCCCATCCATTGATTTTCCTTCTGATCCGGTCTTTAAGGTCACCACAAGCTCTTTTTTTTACCTCTCCCCACCATAGTTGGTAGCCCTAGATACTTCTCCAGGTTGGTGATAACATGTACCCCAAAAATTTCTTTGACTTCATTCATTTGATCCTGTCTTGTGTTTCGACTAAAGAAGAGTATGGATTTGTCAAAATTGATCAACTAGCCTAAGCTTTTTTGGTATTTCCTTAACATGTCCCTCATCCTTTCGCTTTCCATCCTATTTGTCCTTATGAACAAAAGATTGTCATCAGCAAAAAATAAATGAGTGACTCGGGGTCTTGTTGAGTTAATCCTTCTGAATAGATTGGGAATAGGTAAGGTGATAGTGGATCTCCTTGGCTTAATCCCTTTTCTGGTACAAAATTATTAGTCACAGAACCATTTATAATAAAAGAATAGGAAACTGATCTAGCACATCTCATAACTAAATCCACCTATTTCCTATGAAATCCCATTTTCACCATCATAGCATCCAAAAAATCCCATTCAACATGATCATAGGCTTTGCTCATATCAAGTTTTAGCGCAAAAGAACCTCCCTTGCCTTGTCTTTTGTTTTTGAGCATATGAAGTAGTTCGTAAGCTACCAACACATTATCTGTGATCAACCTTCCAAGTACAAATGCACTCTGCTGTTCGCTTATCTAAATGGGAAGCATAATTTTAAACCTATTGACAATGACTTTGGATATAATCTTGTAAATGACATTACAGAAACTAATAGGCCTAAATTGGGACATGTGTTTTGGGTTTCTGACTTTAGGGATCAACACTATGTTTGTGTTTTTAAAATTTCCTATGTCCACATTCCCATTTAACACAGAAAAACAGAAATTAATGATCTCGAAACCTACATTGTGCCAATATTTTTGAAAAAATAAAATAGGCATACCGTCAGGTCCACGTGCTTTAGTAAGATGCATTTGCTTGATGGTTGTGTAGATCTCCTCAGCTCTGAATTCTGCTAAAAGGTTACTGTTCATTTCATTAGTCACATGGGGTTCAACAGAATCCAATATGTCTTAGTAATGCTAGCTTCTCTGACTTTTGAAAAGATTTTGGAAGTACTCACATGCAATTTCTTGGAATTTTTTTCTTCCTCTTCTTTCCAATTTCCATTCGGGTTCTCTATTCCTTTTAAATTGGAATTTATTTGATTAAAAAGTACATGTGATCAAATAATTTTCTAATTTTGAAGTTACAATCACAATCATTTATTATATTTATATAATCAATTGAATAATCAATTATTATATTATAATAAAAGTTATAGTTACTAAACAATCAACTAACAAAGTAAAATATAACTAAATAATCAAACCTACACGTAATAAAACTTGAACTTAGAACATAGGGTTTTAAGGTCTCCTTGCCACTAAGTCAAAGTCTCATTGGTTACCAAACAATTTTCTAGACACGTGTAACACATGGATTAAATAGTTGCATTCAATAGGAAAGTCAATGGCACAAACTTATTTCTGGTTAATTGCAGCATTCCTTTTCTTAATAATGGAATTAATATCTTGTATTAAGAAAACTAAACCTTTTTTTAAATTCGCAATATGATCAAAGATATCTCAAGTTTTACATGGATCAAATCCTCTTTGCAAAAAATCTTAAAAGCGTATCGCATACTCTCTTCCATATTGGTTTGACACATATAAGTTTTCATTCTAAAATTACTTTCACAAGTACCAAGCTTTGACAAAAAGTTCTCTTTTTCTTAAGGAAACAAAATTAAAACTTGAATTATTCTATCATTCATAAAGGCAAAACTTTTTAACATGGTTTTTTTTTTTTTTTTTTTTTTCTATCAAATAAGGGGATAGGGGATGGTGATGGTGAGATTCGAATTTCAACCATACATGGACTTCAAAGTCTTTAGCCACTAGATCAATGAGCTGAAAGTATATTAACATTCTTTAATATAACATCATGGGTGCAATGATTTTTATAAGATATATCCTTGCATTATGAATATTTAAGAATATATGGTGAATTAATGATGCTAAATTTTATATTCTTTTTTATTATTTGATGTACACAATTAACTAAAATTATGGACTAATTAATAATAATTATGCACTCGATCGGTACTGCATAAGATCATAACCACTAGAAATAATGAAACAGAACCTATTTGGAGAAACATAAATATATAATATAGATTATATTCTCATACAAACCTTTTTTTTGTTTCTAAAATGAAGATTATATTCTATATATCTCTACTAAATAAACTTAAAATTGAAAGCATCTATTCATGTATTAGCTGTAATTTAGTTATATTAAAAGAAACAGGGCATGTGATTGTAGAAAATATAAAGAGAATTTGTGAAGGGAGATGTAGGATTGGACAGTGCGAAAAGAGTGGGGGAAAAGGAATTATACAGACAGCAGTTCCTCTTTTTGTAACTCTGTTGAATTTTAACTCGTCGACTTCGGAGGAAGAGGAGGAGGAGGAGGAGAAGAAAGTATTTTTCTTTTTCCTTCTCTGAAAAGGATTGTGGGTATAGCTAGCCAAACATTTTACGCTGTTTTTGCGTGTATTGACTATTGAGAAAAGGAGAGTTGAGTGAGAAAGAGAGAGAGAGAGGCTTTGTTGAAATGTCATTTTCCTATATATACTCTCGAGGTAGGAGCAATGAAAAACGCAGTCTCAAAATCTATCCTTCTCTTCCCCCTTCATTCCAAATCCTTTCCTTTACACATATAATTATTCTATTATCATTTCAACACCACGCATCTCTCTCTCCCTCTATCTCTGTCAGGATGTCTGTTCCTTGAAGAGCAGAAAAAAGTTTTCTTTTTTTTTTGTTAGCTAATTACTAAGGGGTTTTCTTTCTTTCATAGCTAGCTCCTCATCTGCATCAGAAAATTTTGTTTTCTCCTTTTCTTAGATTCTCTTTTAATTGGAGAAGGCTTTCAGTTCCTTTGGTGAATCGGCGGCAGGCACATCTTGAAACCTTTTCTTGAGAGTAAAAATGTCCAATAGAGGGGATTTCAGTGAACAATCTTTGAATCGGATTCCTGATCTTTCACTGCACATTAGCCCTCGCAACAGTGCTCCTTCCTCAATTTGCACTGGCGATAATGAAGGGGATTCTTCCTCTAATATTTGGCGCAAAGATAACGGCCTGAAATCACACAGTGATAGTACCATAAAAGTCGGTTCCCAAACGGACACCGAGCTTTCCTTAGCAAATCCTGTGAGCAGTGCCTTAGAGGACGAGAGCCCTTGGCAAAGAAACTTTGGGGCGGCTGCAAGCAGCGATGATGATCAAATAAGACACAGAAATCTTCTCAAATGTGGTAACAGTGGCCAACTAAGTAATATAAACCATGGAATTTCATTGCTTGATGTTTCAGGACTGAAACCCATCAAGGGGGTTCCAGTATACAGTAACTGTATGTCTTTCCCGTTTTCGAGGTCGGATAGTTTTGTAGATATGGAACGCAATAAGTTATGCTTTTATCAGACGTCGCCCTATTCATCGTATAATTGTTCTCCCTCAGCTTCTTCGGTGTTGCACTTACCCGATTCTTATAGAATAGGAAGTGCTGCACCTAGGTCTAATGAGATTTCAATGGAGAAGCTAGGCCCCCAGCTTCATCATCAGTACACCCAATATGGAGCGGCAGTGGGCAGTTCCGAGTTGTATAATGGCATGATTAGATCGAGATTTATGCCTAAACCACAAAGCAAGAGGAATATGAGGGCACCGAGGATGCGTTGGACCAGCTCTCTTCATGCTCGCTTTGTTCATGCTGTGGAGCTTCTTGGTGGTCATGAAAGTAATTCAATTAAATCTCTTTTTTTTTTTCCTTTCTTTTATGTCATCAACCAAGCTGAAGATAGGGATGAATCTGTTGTTAAGTTTTAGTTTTTGATTTTGGGGCTAATTACCCATTAATTTCATGAGCTTGTTGGTGTTGTGTACTTGGTAGGAGCTACTCCGAAGTCAGTTTTAGAGCTAATGGATGTCAAAGATCTAACTCTTGCCCATGTCAAAAGCCATTTACAGGTACGGCAAAGAATTGGAAGTTGAAACCCTCATTTTTTGTTTTCGCTTCTCTTCCTCTCACATATGTTGTCTCTCTCATTAGTACGGTGGGGTGTGGTAAGACTAAAGAGAAAAGAGTTCTCCAATCCAATCCAACCTAATCACGGCACAAGAGCCGATGAGTGCTGTGAATGAATGAACAGTGAGCCTGTTTTGTGGTACAGGGCAAGTTCAACTTTTAGAGAGAAAAGAAGAAGTTAAAGAGAGAGAGAAAAAAGTAGCCATCATTTCTCAATAATACAGGCAATTACTGTCCTTACCAAACATCAAACTCGTGGTTAATAAACAAACCAACAAAACACACGAACAGCAGCATCTGATTTGATATTTTTGACTGGAAGATCCCACTTTCTCTATCTGCTCCCCCGCTAATTAATTAATAAAATACAGGCACCTTTTTCCTAAAAAAAAAAAAAAGGCAATTCTTTTTTTAGTAAATTTTCGCCCTTTTTGTGGGTCTATCTTGGTTTTAAGTTCATCATCTTTGTCGCCTTTTGCATTGCAGATGTTTAGAACTGTTAAGAGCACTGAAAAACCTGCAGCTTCCTCAGGTAATTCGTATCCCTCTCATCTTTTATATTAATTAACTGCTTCATTTTAACTTAATTTAATTTAATCTCCCTTGATTTTTGTTTCACATTTCAAACTTGTAGATTCTCTCTCCTCTCTCTCTCTTCAATGTCTCGCCTTTCTAGAGCGCATTCTTAGACATTTATACATAAACATATTTAGGATTAATTTTGCAAATAATCATGCATTATAATAAAATATTTAAAACAATATCTAAATTTTAAAATTTTTAATTGATATTTAAATTATAAAATTTTTAATTAATATAGTACTTACATATGATGTGTTTAATTTTAAATAATAATACATGATAGATAAATAATTTTTTATATTTAATATTAATTAATATATTTATAATTAATATATCATATTAAAGATTTTTAAAATTTAAATATTATATTTAATATTTTACTATAATTCATAAATCCATATGTTTACATATTCTTACATAATAATACTATATGCTATGTCTTAATATACTATGTATATATGGGCCTATTATTTCATTGTTAAAATTGGTGAATAGATAAAATTACTTATGACAGATGGGTCAGGAGAAGAAGATTATGTGCCTGTTGCTAGAAGTACAGTGAGTCCGATTGCAAACTGTGCAGTGGACCTGAGATCAGGAAGTCCAAATTTGTCCATAGAACATGACAATAATAATATTAATAATGGCTATCCCTCCGCTAATCTTTGGAGTAACTCTTCTAGGTGAGTCTCTCAATCTCTCTCTCCTATTTTCATGTTAATTTTTATTGTTTGTTCGTTCTTTTTTTTTTTTCTTTAAATAATAATACTGCTATATGGTATATAGATATGCTGCGTTTGCTTTTCTCCGTGGTTTTTTAGATTTATAGCTGGGTAGTTTTTGTCTTCTAATGCATGGGTAGTTTAGGGTAATTTGTGTATCCTATTATTTTCGTGTAAAACATAAAATTATTATATTATAAATCATGTAAATATATCAAATAAAAAATATAATTTTTTTTTAAATCTATATATAATATTATTAAAATTTTAAATAATTAATTTCAAATTTCTTTTATCATTTTTGTATCAATGTGTTCTATTTAAAATTATCGAATTTCATTAATTGGTAAATAAAAAACTCTATGTGCGTTGTCAATATTGTTTATATATATATATATATAAAAATATAAAAAAAAAAAACCCTAAAAAGCGTTTCTTTACGAAAGCTTTTGCTTTTGTTAACCTTTAATTCACTCCTTTTATATTTTGATGCTTACTTTCTTCCCTAAGTGCTCACATTAACCTAAACCTCTTTTTCCTTTTAAAAGTGAATAAAAAATCTACGGTCTATTGACTTGAACCAATCCCTCTTATTGCCCCACAAAAAAACAAGGTTTGTTTAAGTTCGAGAAAAGATCCCAGTCTCTTAAATGCAGAATGTACTGTCCACTGAAACTCATAGCTATAGCTTTAGCTAACCTAGCTGGCCACTCAAGTTAGTTACTCAGTTAACTCGGTTCGTCTGGCTAATTCTATCAAGGATACCCAGCTTATATGTAAATAGTCCTAAACACCTTTCTTTTTAAGTTATTAATTCTTCAGAATCGTCAATTCAGCTGCTTTATCTTTAAGCATGATTTCTGGATGTTGACATTTAATCAATAAATTGCTTGAAAGGAGATTAGGAGAGGAGTCCGTTCAGTTATTAGAGTTTGTGCGTGCGTGTGTGTGTCTATATATATATATATATATATATATATATTGGGAACCAAACCGCATAGAACTTTTTGGGATTCTATGAAAATAAAAAAAATTACAAAGCCATTAATATTGTAGTTGGGGGAAAATATAAAGGAACAGGGTATTCAGACTGCAGTCGGTTTTTTATATTTTTTTCTTAACTTTATTATTATTAAAAGAAATCAAGCTTCTAAATATAATCAGTAACTTCAATCTTTGTGTTAAGGTGCAAAAGTTTGTGCACACACCTGTACAAGCTCTTTCATTTCTCCAAATTTTACTTCAAGTTATCATGTGAGTTTTATTTAATTTTCTGTTAATTTATTGAAAATTTGTTACATCTCTATGTTGATGGAGTTTTAAAATTCTACAAAATAGGGTTAATAAGATAACTAACACATGTATAATTTAAAAAATTAAAAAAAAATCAATTAAAAAAATTTTACTAACTATGAAATTAACTGGGGTTTATTAGTTTGTTTCTTGATTTCGTTTTAATTGGATGTATGTTAAAAGTTGTTTAAAAAATTTTCAATTTAGAGATTGGGAATAGGTAGAAATCTTAAAAAAAAAAAAATGATTAAATTTGAATCACTGTTAACATAATATGACATCAAAGGACAACTTTAAGTACTATATTCATATAATAATCTTATAAAATTGATTTTTTTTTTTAAGGATTAATATTTCATACACTTTGCCTCGTAATAATGAAAGATGCAAGGACAGAATGAATTGAGAGAAAAGAAAGTTTACAGTCTCCTTTTACACTAGTGTGCTTGGCATGGAAGATTAAAATGTGGATTAGAAGAAAATTATTTTTCCATGCATTACTAATCTTTTATAAATATATAAAAGTTAAAGTCTCTAACAAAAAAAAAATAATTTAATGTAGATAATTTATATTTTTGACATATACGCAATCTAAAAAATTGACATATATTCAAAATTAATTATATATTTCAAATTTAAAATTTAGAATTTAATGATAAAATAAATTTAATTTAAAATATCTTATTTCCATTATTATAAAACACATTCAATAATTCTTATTAATATTTATTTTTATATGAATAAATGACTAAAATAAACTAAAAACCAAATCAAGAGTAATAATAAATTAAATTGAGAGTAATTTATACTTGATAATTAGAATAGTCGAGTATAATGTGTATTTAATACGCTTGAGAGAAATGAAAAAAGTATATTTTAAAATTAATGTAATAATGGTAATAAAATTAAATTTTTATTAAATGATAATTTTATACAATTCATAAATTACTCTATTACTTCCATTTTTAGTTTTTAGCCAATTTATTATAATAAATATTAAATACCTTGAACACCTTATTAGTCTTATACCTTATCTTATACAAATATATAAAATCAAAGCCTTTGACAAAAAAGAAAATATTCAGTGTCAATGTTCTATTTTTTACACATGTACAATTATGAATAAATGTCATGTATTATCTAATCAATACATTTTATTTTATTTTATGCATTCTTAATTTTAAAAAATCAAAATGCTTAATTTGATTTGATTCATTTGTAATGTAAAACAAGTAAATTTATTTAATTTAGATTATTAGATTTATTTTCTTTTAAATATTTATTACTCTTACCTTGTATAAATAAGTTTCAATTCAACTTGTAATTAAAGTTATTTTTTTTTTCTTAAATCATTCTCAATTAAATTTTATTTTTAATTTTTCACACCAACTTCAACATTGTAAATAGGAATATGTTTTTGTCCATTAGAGATAATAGTATGGGCTTTTGTTCTATAATTTTATTAAGTTCCGTCTCTCTTTTTTTTATTTGTTCCATTGATATGTTTCTTTTTTTTTTTTCATTTGTTTCATTCCTTTTTATTTCAAAATGTGATTTCTTTTATTGCTTTTTAATATTACACCTTGCTTTTTAGCAAAAGAAAACCTAATCTACTTTTAGTTTTTGGAACAATATTAGTATAATATACAAATATGTTGATATGCCTTAGAAATTAATATAAACATTTCATACACAATATAAATGGCTTGCTTTGTTTTATCATTATATTTAATTTTTAGTTTATTTTTTAATGATTATAATTTTTGTGTGCAAATATATATATATATATATACATATATATGCTATATGATTAATATTGACTACAAAATTTCACTAGCTTTTCTAATTGCTAACAAGTTGTCACCAAGAACATGTCTGATCTCAAATACTATAGTAAAAGATTATTGTATGAAGAAAATAGGATATGATACACAATGGAATGTCCAAACAAATATGGATGGCTTACACAAATGAGTCTTGCATGGGATTAACAATTTCTAAATTTCAATTATTCCAATACCAAATGAAATTCAATTATCTTATACATGTAAATGACAACAAAATTTTAATTCATTATCTAAATTATAAATGTATTGATTTCTAAAATATTGTTATATATAATGAGAATTATGCTAATTGATTTGCTTGGTCATGTCTTTTGAAAATTTAAAATGAAATTGAAGTTCACATTAATCACTTAATGTACAATTTCCATCAATTACCTCTAACTAAATTAATTGATTATCTTTTAAGTTTGAGAAATGCATTAAAAATTTGTTGGCATTCAATGGAGTAAATTGAACAATAGAGATAATAAATTATTGTATTACTCGAGATTTGTTATTTATCTATCAATAGGCCTTGACGGTTTAAAAAAATGGATCTAATAATAAGAAATTGTGTTAATAGGTACAAAGTTTTTAAGAGTAGATTTGTTTTTTAAAAATTAAAATAAAAATCAAGTTTTCATATAGTGTTAGTATTGATCAAATTGAATGTTATTAACAAAACAAAGTTAAATGAGGATTTAAATCTCTTAAGAAGTTAAGAGTTAAGAATTGATTTATCTGAATAATTTATACTGTAAATATGATATTACAATCATTTTCTTATAAATAACAAATGTTTTTGCCTTTTATGAATAAATTTCAAGTCAAGCTGCAATTAAATTTTATTTTTTCATTATAGTTTATCTTAAATTGATCAAAATAAAATTCCATTCTTAACTTTTAATATTCAACGATGACACTACATACGAATAGGAGTTTGCTATGATGTATTACCATTTAATAATTAATACTAAAAAATTTTTAAATTTAAATTATTATCGAAAGACCTAATTTCAATTTTATATATTGTCTTTCTAATATTACAATACTAAATTAAATGAAAGATTTCTTTTCTATCTCATGAGAAAAAAATTTGTGTTACTTCCAATTAATTAATTCACATAAAAAAATATATTCTAAAACATTATTATCTATAAACTATTTGACATTCGAATAAAAACTTATAAAATTTGAAAACTATATAGTTATTAAATTAATAACTATAAACTTTTTATAAAAAAAAATTTATTAATTTTATTATCTTATTTATATAAATTTTATCCTACATTAAATTAGTACTATGTACTCTTAATTTGATTTTTATATTAACTAATATTTTATATTTATAATCTAGCCTCAAACATAATCTTAAAATATATGTACATATCAACGGAAAAAAGTGTTATGTAATAAATGTGTTTACTAATAAAATATTTTAATTTTATTATTTAATGCTTAATTGATAAAAATAAATATTAGTGAATTCACTGCAATTAAATTATTAGATTTTTTAACATATAAAAATAAAATTTTAAAACTTAATTTTAACATATATTTTTCAGATTATAAATTCTTTTAATGTTTTTGTCTTATTGATGATTTCATAAAAATTAAAATAACTTATTTTAAAATGAGTGACTGTCCAATCATGAATTAATGTTATATTTTTATGTTTTTTATCACATATTTTACGCTAAAATCCAAATCTCTTTTAATTTTATGTTACCAAACCTAATAAATAAGTTGTTGAAAAATAAAGACAAAATATGCTTTCCAATTTTAAATGAAATTTTGTATAGAAAATTTTTTATATTTTGATTTTAGATTAAATAAAATACAATAACAACATATAAATTTAGTTAAAAGAAATATATATAATATTATCATATTAAATTTAATTAATTAAAATAATTTTATAAAAAAAAAAAATCGCATGTACAAACTAGTTGAAATAATAAAAAGAAAAGTGAGGGGAAAAAAATCACATTATTTACCATTATACCCTTTACGTGGAGATTAGAACGATAATTTGTTTAACTAAGAAAGAGAACACTGGATATTCTCAATAATTAATTCATATCTCCTATTTTGTCTCCTATAATATTATTCTTTCCAAAAATTAATTAAGAGGGTTGATTTTTATTTTGTATGATAAAAAATGAAAACCACTTCTTTCTATATTGGGGGGGGGGACGTCTGTACTGCTATAAAATTTATTTTGTATACTGCAGGGGATTCTACTTTTTATTAATAGAAGTTTTGTGTTTTGGTTTATAGGATTCTAATAAATCAACATTAAATTTTGAAACATTAACTAATCAATAGGCATAACTAATACAACCAAAAAGAAACCAATATATAGAGTAAACAAATAAAAAAAGTGACTGATACAAAGTTGGATGAAACTCAGTATAAAAAATGTTACAAAAAACTCATAAATTATAAGAGTTGAATTTGAGATCTAAAGGTTTCAATCCTTCCTCTTTATCATTAAAGATAAAATCTCATTGACCATATAAAAATTTTAATTTTGAAAAGAGAAAAACTATACTCTATATATGGATAAGTAATGTTCATCAACTGAAATATTATATTTTAATTCCTCAAAAATTTGGTTCAATTCATCAAAACATAAAAATGAATTAGTTGAATAGAAACTTATGTTTTGGTATATTATGAAAACCTATATATTGGGCTTTAATTGCATGAAAATAGAGATATCACTCTTCCATCCCTTATAGTCTTCCCTCCCCTACCCAAGATTGTATGTATAGGTTATGGAGGACTTAAATTATACTGATTGGGATGTTTACTTGGAGATATTAAATGGAATTTAAGGCATTATTTGTTATTTAAAAAATAAAAAAAAAAAACACTACACCAAATTTGTCATTTTTTAATTCAACAATTTAGACTCCTTTCTCATAAAAAATTAAAATGTATTTGTTGGAATTTTTTTTATTCAAATTAATTGATCAAACCGACTTTTTGTGTACGTTTAAGATTAATGTGAAGATCAAGAAATAAAATATGCAGTAACATAGGAGAAGAGGAACATTTTAGTTACAGTAATTGTAATACAATATTTATATGCTGTTTCATATATGAAATAATTAATTAAAAATTAAAATTTATAATGATTTAAAATTTGAAACCACGTAATGGAATATTTTTAATAAAATTCGCTAAAAAATCTAGTTAAAGATTACTCGATCTATTAAGATAATCTTATTTACAATTTTTTTATTTAATTACATTAACTTTATGTTCTTTCTATTTTTCTTTGTTAATATAATATCCTTATAAATATCATACATCCCCTTTTATTTTTTTTTTCAATTTCAATAAAAATCTATTCTAGAATTAATCTCCAACCATGCACCAAACAATTATAAATTATGAATTGAATACGTTAAAATATTCAAAACTAAAAATTAAGTTTTTTTTTAGGGTTGAGTTTTCTAATTTATAAAAAACCTTAGTTTTGAAACAAATAATAAATAATTATATCAAGTTTGATATATTAGTTACTTAGTGCATAATATTTTATCTTTTAAATGTTAATTTTTTTCGGCAATTGTAATTATTATTATATTAATAGAACTTTCTTTTTGCCTTTTTAAAAAAAAAAAATTTTAGCATGTTAGTCATTTAATTCGTGTTTAAAATTTATCTTGATTATTTTTTTTTTTTCAAATTTCTCTCTTTAAACAACATAATATAACATTCAACTTTATTTTCTGTAATTTTATGCTTCTCTTGTACACTTGATAGTGTGCAACAGTACTACAAAAAATAAAAAGAAAAATGCTAACTGTCTTTTAAATTAAGTTAAATGTTCAAGAAGTTATATCTTGAATTTTAATTGTTGGGCTAGGCTCTCTTTCACTAAGTATTTTCTATTTCATTTTTTTCATACAACCATTATTGTTTTTCAGACTTAGTCATTAGTTGCGAAACCCCCCTATTCGAATGAAAGTTAGGCAAAACAGCTTATATACTTGGAGTTAAAATTAAATCAGATAGTTTCAAGAAATTGTTGACTCTTTCACAACAGTAATATATTTAGAAAATATTTTAAAAATTTAATATGTAAGACCACAAGCCATTTGATATTTTTATGACGAAAAGCAAAAGTCTAAGTGAAAATTTGTGTCTTAAAACTCCACAAAAAGAAGAACAAACAAGAGTTTCTTACTCTAATGTTGTTAGAAGTCTTACGTATGCTATGATATGGTGGGATTTTTTCATGCAAGTAGCATGATAAGTAGATAATCATGATAAGTAGATATCAATTCAACTCAGATCAAACCCACTCACAGTTGACTGCATTCATGGCTTCTACCGGTGGATAGATTTTCTTCATTAATGAATCTCATTGCTTGTGCATTTCAAACAACTGAACAAGTGTTGTGGATGTGAATGACTGTTGGAAAGTGGTGATAAACAAATCATCTAATGTGGAATTAAAAGTTACATGATTGCAGAAGATTGCTGACTTGATTCACTAGTTGAGAACAAAATCATAAAACGGAAATTGTTCGTTATATACATCATAAATTCATAACACTGAATGCATGGAGTTTCTGAGAGAGTATTCTTAATCTTTGTCCATCCTTTTCTCTCTTTCATTCTCTTTGTATCCCACAAATTCTCTATGTTTTTTTCAATATGGCCGAATCCCATATTTATAGAGGAAGAGGGGATCCGCAGTTGCATGGTTGTTTGAATTCAAATTCAAACACCTAACTGTCTTTGGCTGTTTCATGTCTGGGTTCAGGCCAAGGCAAACATAACTGTCTTACGGTAGTTTATGTTTGTGTGGGGTTTCACCCATTATGGTCGAACCCGACACCAACATCTACCGCTCGCACATAACGTAATGGGTGTCATAACTCTCTTTATCAAGAAAACAATTTCTCTACCCGTTATGGGAGGACCCGACACCCAACAATGACAATAGAACAGTACAAGGTTGCAACAGGCCCGCATTGCACCTGGGCACTTGGTACAAAGTTACAAAATGAATGATTGAAATTGAACCTCATTTAAGAGTACTACTTCAAGTACGATGAATATATATATATATATATATATATATATATTGTACACTGTTTCTCACATCATTACAGAAGAACTGACCTTGACTTCTGGTCCATGAACGAAAAGCGAGGAACCCGTAGCTGGGCCTTCCCTGTCAAAAACATTTTAACCTTATGTTAGTTCACTTATAAAAGAACAACCTCTGATAATTAACAGATATTGAAATAAGGAAATTTTAATTTCTTCCATTTACATGTGTAGCTAAACTGTCCTTTGCTCTTCATTTGATCCAAGAAAGAAGTAGTATTAATTGAATGTGGAGCAATACTAGCAAGAACGATGAAATAACTTGTTACTTAATTGCCTTTAGCACTTCTCTCAACTCAATTTGGTGGGTTGTTGATTGAACTTACACAGCTGAAATTAGTGAAAATAACTAATATCAATTTATGAATTTTGATGGCGTAGAGAAGTTTGCTTGTCGAGTAGGAGGAATCCAGATGGGCTTAGCCCGGAAGCTCCATCATCTCAATCTGGAAATCAGTTTGAGGTAAGTGATCATCAAAAAGCTGCCGATCCAACCATTTCATTATCTGCTTCAGCTTCAAACATATGCATGCAATGTTGAGTAAGACCATCCAGGTTAACTAGGCAGAAACGTGAGTTTTGCTTATGATCAGTATAGATTAATTTGTTTAGAGTCAGACCAAAAGAGAAAGAAAGGAAAAACATGAACGTGGAACTCAGATATCAAAGTTGCGATCAATGTTCTATGCATGAATTATACATAAAACTTTATATAATTCATAAACTGTTGGTGCAGACGTTAGACAAGGGAGTAAAAATGTTAAAGCTAAAGCCCAATACAATATAGCTGTTACTTTCTTATTTATGCAATATGTTGAAAAGGACTATACAAATTTTCTTTCCTTTAGATTAACAATTCATAATTTTTTTTTATTCCATTTCTTTTGTCATTGGAAAATGCCATACCATTAATGAAGTATCTGTATCTACAACCATGCAGGGAAGCAGTTTTGCTCAACAAAAAAATTTAACGAGGTCAAACGTAGAGCTCGACAACCCAAGCTTGGAGTTCAGCTTAGGAAGACCAGACTGGCAGAGTAAAGAACGTTAAGCTTAATGGATGACGGTAAAATTAAAGTTTCAAGAATATATATATATATATATATATATCGTAATTCATCTTCCTCTGAAAGTTTCATGCACGTTAGTCTGTATATTCTTTTTTTTTTTTTTCGGGGGGGGGGGGGGGGGGTGGGGATTTGTTTAAAGTCTTGTTGGCGAGGTGATGTTAGTCATTAGATGCATGTCATGAATAAAGCAAACAAGCAGAAGAAAAAAAAAGAAGGAATCAGTTTGAATGTCGTATAGAATTCAGGATTACTCTTTTGGAACGTCTACTTATAATATATATATATATATATATATATAATTTCATTGATAAATTCATCAATTCTATGGTGTTCAGAGAATTATTTTTTAAAAATTCTTTTTCTTATCTTCAAGAATTTTCAAAGAAAAAAATTGAAATATTCAGTAAAAATTTTTTCTTTAAATCATGTTCTTTTTTAATTTTAAAAGTTTTCATCAACACTCTCTCATTAAATGTAAAAACGTTATTATTAAAATGGAACATTTACAAAATATAAAGAATATATTGCAAATGCACCATTTTAATAGCAGCGTATAGTGTGTATATATATATATATATATATATATATATATATATATATATATATATCAGCTAAGCAAAGATCCTTTTCCCTTCTTCACCAGGTTTTTGTGCCTTCGAATGGATCCATCCTTCTTAGAAATATGTTAATGAATATTTAAAAATTGAAAAGTAATAAAACTTTTTTAAAAAATTATAGATATCTTCAAAAAAAAATTTAAAATATTTTAAAATTAAAAAGGTAAAAAACTATTTTAAGCACTTTTTTCTTTTTTTTTATCATAGATAAAATTGATAATATATATTTTACAAATATATATCTCAAAATAAAATTCTAAGACCGTCGTTATTTTCGTGGGTCATTCGAGTGAATATCTCTTTATGTCATTTATTCATTTATAATTTGAAAGTTTGATATGAAGTTGCTTTGCAGCCTCTAAAAAAGGTAGAGTAAAAAAGAAAGCAGTGGCTATACAGACATGGTGAGAATATCGGATTCATAGATGGCAGCTCGCTCTCTTGTTGGCTGTTATGTTAAACACAGCATCCCCTTTTCCCTTTCCAAGTTGCTTAATGTTGCGATTTAAATTGTGTTGAGATTGTGGGGTGCATACTGCCCCACTTCCACATTATGCTTTTACATGTATCTATTCGAAGATAGCGGTAACGGTTTTTAGGATAAAATTAGTTTGTGACGTGATGCATGATATTTTTATTTTTTTAAAAAAATTCTTTTAATTTATTAAATTTTATATGATAATATTGCATTTTTTAATTAAATTTATTTACTAATATTATATTTATTTTAATATAAAATCAAAATATAAAAAATTCTTCATACAAATTCGCATTTAAAATTGGAAAGCAAATTGTCTTTATTTTTTTCAATAACCTACGTATTAGGGTTGGTAACTTAGATTTAAAAGAAGAGTTTTGGATTTTAGTACATGTATGATAAAGCACATAAAGATATAACATTAATTCATGATTGGACAGTCACTCATTTTAAAATAAATTATTTCAATTTTAATGATTTCATCAATGAAACAAAAACATTAAGAGAATTTATAATCTAAAAAATGTGTTAAAATTAATTTTAAAATTATGTTTTTATATGTTAAAAAAATCTAATAATTTGATGGGTTAATTTCATAAATATACCTTATGGTTAAGACTGAAATAAAGTGCTTCTTGTGGTTTAAAATATGACATTTAACTACCCCATGATTTGATTTATTATTTTTTTTACCAAAATCGTTACTTTTTCTATTTCATTATTTCTTTGTTACTTTTATCTTTATTCTTTATTTAAATTCATACTCTCTCTAAAATTTTATGTTCTCTCTCTAAAACTAAATTAATTCTCTCTCTAAACCTAGACTAATCCATAAATAGCAACTTCAACTCACCAAAATCTTCATACCACCACCACCACTAAGTCAATTATGATAGATAAAAACTGCCTATATCCCCACATCCGAGTCTCTTCAACACTTTAAAATGCTTAAAGTCCAAGTTTTCCTTTTGAGATCTGACAACTTGAATTACTTCCCATTTAATATCATTTGCTTTGTGGGTTTGTAGATGACACTGGTTAGACAACTAGAGCTGCTTTCATCATTAACATCACTGCCAATGCTCATTTTATCAGCAATTAGTGAACCTAGAATTAGTAATTAACCATAAGAAAAGACTCATTCAATAGTGTAAAATCAACAATCATCCATCGGCAAGTAATCATAGAGACATAAAATAATAGCAAAACACTCATAGAAAAAATAAAAAATAAAATAAAAAGTTTTCATTATAAGAGTTTTTTATTTTTTTTTATTATGGTTGTAGACACCCCAATCTGTCCGATGGTCTGCTAGATTAGGATTTGGTTAATTAAAAAAATAAAAAAATGAAAAAAGGTAAAAATAAAAAATTAGGAGAAAAATTAGTGGTTGGGTTTGTGTGGGATTGTTTATCTGAAAGTTAGAATCAAAACTCTATTGATATAGGATTCTGTTGATTTGAATCCTATAAATACAAAGGTCATAAGCATAAGAAAAAACATAGAAACAAAGACAGAAATCAAAAGCACAAAGAAAGACAACAAGTAGAAGCAAAGATAGACGTGTTTAGGAAAGTCAAAAGCAAACATAGAATTTTTAGGATTTTTCTTGAAATTTTTGGCATTTTCTTTTGGAAATTTTCTGAGAATCCAAATTTCGATGAGTTTTTCGGTGAGATTCATATTTTTCAATGGCTTTTTTCCAGTTTTTGGTGAATATTCAATCGGATTCTGGACGGGTAAAGAGAGAGGAAGAGGAAAAAGGAAGAGAAGAGAGATAAGGAAGGAAGCAATCTACAAAAGAATAGAAATTGGAGCCTTTTATATCGTAAAAAAAAGACATCTTTTAGGTGTTTTAATCAGGATCTGCGCATTTTCATCTGGTAACCCAACCCGATCACAACCTAGTCCAGTGACCTGCATCCCAACCAGACCCTACAGTTGGGCCGAACCGAGTCACTTTCCCAAGCCGTGTTTTTAAGCCACTGTTTGTGTTTTAAGCCAAGTCGATCCAAGCTGCTCCTACCGAGCTGTTTCCATTTTTTGGTATTTTTATTTATTTATTTTATTTAGTATTTTGTTTTTTTCCCTTAGTTTTTTTATGATTAATTTTTTAATATATATCTACATTAAAAATAAAAAAAATAGAAAAATAAAATAAATTTTGGGAATAAATATTAATTATTCAATGATGGAATTTATAGAAATTTTAAATTGTAAATTTTTATAAAATTTCTAGGTGAGAAATTTTGTCTAAGTTTATCCCAAATGGTGGAATAATTTAGATAAAGTTTTAATAACAATAATTAATATTTATTTAAAAAAAAGTAAAATAAAAAATATAAAAAAAACATAAAATATAAAATTTTGGAATTAAATACAAATTACCCAAGGATGAGATTTTTAGAAATTTCAAATGGTAAATTCCTAAGAAATCTCTAGGTGAGAAATTTTCTTTAAATTTGTTCCAAATAGTTGAATAATTTAAATGAAATTTCAATAAAAATAATTGTCATATTATTTTCTTTCTAAAAAAAAAGAGAGAAAAAATATTAAAAAGAATTTCTAAATAGGCCTAAATGGTGAAAAAATTTAGAAATTCAAAATAAGAAAATATTTTTAATTTGGCCAAAATGGTGGAATAATTAGATATATTTTCCACAAAAAAATAAAACTAACAAAAATTTTTCTGACGACGGAGCCTCTTCAAGATATCAAATGGGATTCTTGAATACTTTTGAGGTGAAAAAATATTTTTAAGAGTTCTAGTAGATTGATGTAGATTCTTAAAAATTATTTTCAATATTTACACATATAAACTTAAAACCATTAGAATCGAGACTCTAGGATAAATTTAAAATAAAATGGTATAATCATTTTGATGGGCATGTGAGGGTGCTATAACCTTCCCTATATGTAACCGACTCCTGAACCTTATTCTAGTTAGTAGACCCAAATTATTCTTTTAGGGACCCTTAGTCAAGCTTAGGAGTTCATTAAAAAGATAGATTCCTTAGGTGGGCAATCACACCTAGTAAAAAAGATTGGTGAGGATTCCATTCATTTGTTAAGTCTAGTTAAAGATTTACAGATTTATATGTTATGATAGTTTGGCGACTCCACTTGGGACGCTATAGAGAGTCAAGCCATAAACTTTTAAATTTATCCTATCCTTTGGTTTAATGGTTTTAATAATTTGTGTTATTTGTTTAATAACATTTTTTTTCCTTTTTTTGACTTTTATTTGATTTTTTTTTTGCCATGAAATCTATATGTTCCTTCACACACACTATCACATGCATTTACATTACATGAGATCTATACCCAATCTCTGTCCCTTTTAGGAGGGAGTAAAGTACCTATGCTCTTGTGAGATGATAATCTCCGCAATGGCTAGCAAAATACTCTCACTCAAATTGAATCCTTTCCGTTGGTAGCCTGTGATGAGTGAAGATTGGACTGCCTTACTAATTTATGATGGACAATGATGTAAGGAACAATTTGAGAACCTTTAGTGGTCAAAGTCACCTAACCCTACATATAGTGTACACTTAAGAGGACAGACTCAAGATAAAGCCATTCCTACCTATTGATAGATGTAAACCAAAGTTAGGACACAATAAGGAACAATTTGTGACTTGCTAACCATTTTGTCTAACTTTGTGCATCATTTTCATTATCATATGTAACATTATGCATTTGCATCACTTTCATTTCATCCATGAAACTAACCATGTTATTTGTCTGATTTTGTACATCTGCATCATCTCATTCTATGCATCATTTTCATGATCATGTTTTAACATTATCATTTGCATCATTCTCATTTCATTCATGAAGATCCACATTCCATTCATGCATAAACATACCATGCATAAAGCATATAATTTTTTATCATAATTATGGTATCAAGGTTCAAAGATAGCTCCATTAACCAAGAATCCCACACAATCAACTCACCAGTACAACAGAAGAACTCGAGCTAGATAAATAGAATTAGAAAATTCTAATCATCTCGAGAGGATAGAGAAAACTCAAGAGAAGCTAGAAAGGAAGTTGAATAGGATTTTGGAGGCTTTGAACAAATTAAATAAGGGAAAAAGTATAGAAGAGAGTACTAGCCAACAAGACCATCCATCACAAGAGGTGGATGACCCACTGCACCCTCCTAGTTTTGGGCAGCATCAAGCCTAACCCGCATAAGGTCCACTGCCTCAGTAGTTCAAATATCTTATAAGGTACAGATACCCTAAAATGCCATTAGTTTCAAATCCACCATAGTACTAGTGCTACATAAATCCTATCTTTACTGAGAAAGTAGTAGAACCAATATTGGTCCCTAATTTGGATGATCCAGAAGAGAAAGAAAAGCTAAAGCTAAAAGAGAAAGAGGCTTTAGAAGGCTCAAAAGCTGAATAGAAAAAAAACTTATTAGAAAAAAAGTAGTAAAAAAATGGCAGTCCATGCTAATAATAAAAAATGATTAATGCATGTATTTCAAGATAGTCTTACAGGCTCTGCTGCTAGGTGTTATGTTCAGTTAGATAGGACCCGCATTCGTTCTTAGAGTGATATGGCCCATGACTTTATTAGTCAGTATCGACATATCATAGACTTAGCCCTAGATCACTTTTTTTTTTTACAAAATATGGAAAAGAAAGCGATTTAGTCATTTAAAGAATATGCCTAGAGGTGGAGGGATATTGCTTCTCAAGTGCAGCCTCTTCTGACTGAGAAAAAAACCATAATATTGTTCGTCAGCACCCTGAAATCTCCCTATTATGAAAAGATGATAAAGAATGCAAGAAAGAATTTCGTTGATATGGTGATCTCAGGTGAAATCATTAAAAATGCCATTAAAAATGGTAAGTTGAAAGGAAGAGAAACCAAGAAGGCGACAGAAAAGAAAGAGACCGAAGCTTAAGCTGTGAGCTTTGGCAAATAGCACATGGGTTATCAATCTTATCCACCAAAAGATTACTTTTCATACTATTCTACTGTGAATAATACTTCATCCTACCCATACCGACCAGCCCCATTACCATTTTATCCATCAACATACTAGCCTGTTTTCAGCCCCTAAGCTCTCACATACAGCTTTAATATTCAAACTCCTGCATGACCCTAAATTTGTTCT